TTGAATACATAGTTTAGGTTTAATAGTTCGAATGCCTTTCGCCTCAGCTGTGTGTAGTAGACGAATACGAAGTCTATTGGAAAGATTCGGTGGGATACGATGAATCACTTTGAAGGCTCTCGTTTTCTCGATTACATGACCACTATCAATTAAGTGTGACAAAATTGAGCTACGGATTGTTTTTGTCTGTCCTTTGCCAAACCACGATGGGAGATGTTCCCTGACACGTTGGCTAAGCTGCCTAGTAGTACGCCCAATATAACTGTCACCGCAGGTGCAGTTGAATTGATAAATGCACATAGATGTGGCAAAACTATCAAGCTTATCCTTCGTTTGCGTCCCAATCATTCGTCGGCTAGAGAATGACAAACATAGGTGTGCTGCATAAAATGTCCTTCGTATACTCCTTGAAAGTCTTTGGAATAGAATCTCACTTGATAAGTCACCATTAAATTGTAACTTAATAAATAGAGGCTTCTTACGTGCAGTCAGAGTCTCCGGTTTTTTCTCCGATGTTTTCATATGTTTCTTTATGAAACTACTGGGATAGCCCATCTCCATCAAGGAATCGTGAATATATTCAAATTCCTTTTGTAAGAGGTCATCCGTACATATCTTTCTTGCTCTGCTCGCAAGACATTTTACAACATTCCTTTTATATTTAATGGGCACGTAACTAAGGAAGTGTGTGTATTGCCCTGTGAAAGTGCTTTTTCTATGCATGCTTCTCCCAAGTGACCCATCTTCTCTCCTACTTAGCAAGACATCCAGGAAATGTAGTTTATTCTCCTGCTTCTCTTCCCAAGTAAAGGTAAGCGAAGGGTGGATGTTGTTGAATTTCAGCAACAATTCGTCTATATTAACATTCCCATCAGCTAAGATAAATGTATCATCGACATATCGGTAATACATATCAAACTGCTTGATGATGTCCTTCAATTTCCCGTTTTCAAGTTTTGCGAGAAAGAAGTCAGCTAACATTGGGCCTAATGGTGAACCCATAGCTATTCCATCTACTTATCGATAGTATGAATTATTGAAGACGAAGTGAACATTCATTGTGCATTTAAGAAGTAATTCTTTGAGGCTACACAAGGGGATTCCTAAGTCTAATTGACTTTCGGCGATTTCTTGACAAATATAGTCTACTGTTTCCATAAGCGGTACATTAGTGAATAGTGATGATACATCCATGGATAACATGCGTTTATACCTCACATTAGTCTCAGATATTTTAGAAATAAAGTCAAAGACATCACTAATTCTATGTTGCACGATTTCTCTGTGCAAAGGACCCAAAATCTTCACTAACCACTTCGCTGTTCCGTGAAATGGAGAGTTATACATATCTAAAACAGGGCGAAGAGGAAGACCCGGTTTGTGCCCTTTTGGTAGACCGTAAAGACGTCGAGTATTAGTACCCGTCGGTTTCATGGACTCATACGTGGTTGATGATAATACTCCTATTTGGTTCATTTGTTTTTACTAGCCTTTATCGACTACTTCCACCTGAAGAGTTGTTTGTTTAATCATGCTGTTTTTCATTATTCGTGTTATCACAGATTGCCTCACTTTTTCATCCTTATTATTGATGAGACCATTTTTATTATTACTATTGCTATTATTATCATTACTACTATTATGACTAATTTCACAATTATTTTTTATAGGAACCAAAACCTTTCTGGAGAACCTTAGTCTTATCAAAGTCGATTTTGTGTCCCGTTTCTATCGAATGTAATGATCCCTATTATTGCATGTGTGATTTGTTATATTATTTATTTATTATTCACTATGACCTAGAAATGGTGTATTTTGTTGGGGTTTTTTATTTTTCCTATTAACTATCAATATTTTTAAAATTTTATGTATTTATATAATTATAAAGAGCTAAACCAATGCAATATGTAAAATGAAACGCTGAAAATTCCATGCTGTAAATTGTTATTGTTGTGGAATAAAGTGATTATTATTATTATTATTATTATTAATGCAGTGCCATCGCTGAGTTGTTCTCTAGCTTCTTCAAGTCTGCAGATGTCTTTGGAACCACCTTTAGAAATTGTTTATGCTCTTTTACTCTTATATTTGCCTGTCTGGAAGTTTCTCCTACATATACGGCGTTACAATCCCCACAATTGATCTGGTATACACAATTCTGCTGATTTTCTTGTTCTATTTTATCCTTAACCTTCACCAGTAATGAGCGTAAGGTGTTAGTTGCACGAAAATACACTCTTATGTTATGGTCGTTAAGGATTTCCTTTATCTCATCGGGTGTTTCTCTGAGGTAAGGAACCGCCGCTGTACCAACCCAATTCTTATCAACAGGTTTCGATCTATCATTATCTTCACATTTTAAATATCTTTTCATGAAGGCTTTAGGATAATTATTTGATTCAAGAGTGGTTTGAACCAATTTTAGTTACTTGCTCGTCTCTTCCTCCTCAGTTACTAGACGTTTGGCTCTGTTGATCAGATTCTTGGCCACAGTTACTTTGGTGGTAAAGTGATGCATTGAATAGTAGTTTAGGTATATGTCCAAATTAGTCGGCTTTCTGAAAATGTTCATTTTTAATTAATCATCTGGTTTTCTTTGTACTAAACAGTCCAGGAACGCGAAATCATCCTCATCAGATTCAACCTCTTTGGAAAACTTGATGTTTTGGTGGATTAATTCAATTATTCATACACTCATTAGAAACAAATGCAATTATGAGATGCCCTTGTCCTCCGAAAATTTGGTCAACATACGTGCATGATAGCTTCGTCATAATTGGACGTAGTTTGTTGAATGAACTTTTTAACCTAATAAATAATATGTCAGACACCATAAAGTCATTGTGAAAAATCTTCAATGCATTGACACACAACGACAGAATAGGGTGAGAGAGGGTTAAAATTCTAAAAAGGTAATCTAGGTAGGTGGAGAGAGAGGTTGATTACTGAATCCTTGTTCATCGAATCTACACCCAACACATGCAATAGGAATGAATCATCACTCATACCCGAAATATGAAAAATAATACTACCAATCAAGTCAAGTGAGAAACAATGGAACTATATAAATGAATTTAGGAAGTCGTGTGATTACCTTGATATGATTATGAGCAATAAATTGTGCTCGAAACGTCATCAGTAAATATTACTGTATAACACTGTGAGACTCTATCAAAGTAAAATTTACCCATAATGGAATTACACTCTACCACAGTTCCCAAGTTTTATTCTTATATCAATGATATTATTAGTATTCCCTTTGCACTTTAGCGAGATATCTCCATTTCACTCCATTCTCTGCACTCGACTTCAGCTCACTCCACGATTGTCCATAGTCTCTCATCTCCTCCTCGCCACACGATCTCCTTCATGTTACACTCAAACCTACAACCAAATAATCGTTTTTCACACTGTTCCCACTCGGTGGCCTACTTGGTACACAACGTCATCTGTCGGTCTCCTCAGCGTGTGTTCAATCCATCTCCATTTATTTCCATATATTCATTGTGCATTAGGTTCTTGAACGGTTCTCTCCCAGAGATCGCTGTTTCATATTCTTTCTGGCTAGACATATCATCTTCAGGATAGGGCTAGCGAAGGTGGCAGCTGTTCATAAAAGTCTGTAGAGTAGCTGGTTGGAAATGCTTTTCTTGACGCGTCAGTCACGTTTCAGACCCATATAGAAGAATCCACTCAATTCATATTGTTGCTGAAAATCCCAGTCTTGTCGCTTACCTTGAGTGTAGCAAACTAACCAACTTGTTTCAGGGTGACGAAGACCTGCCTTGCCTTTCGGATCTTGATTTAGACATCCTCATCCGTGCCATGTGTCTGCATTTGGGACGATGGTGCCTGGTTAAATAAGCGAAGAAAGTGACGTCTTTGGAAAAATTCTTCCGTTGATAGTGATTGGTACTGGCTGTTGCTTTTGATCGCTGGGTGTCTTCATCATATCAACCTTCTCCATGTTCACCTGATTCCTCATTTGCTGCTTCTTCTCCCAAATTGTTGATTTTCGCCTTCAAATATTCGAGTTTGTGTGAAATTAGACATACATCATCCACAAGTGAAATCCAGGTCCTCTACGGTCCTCTTATTCACCCAACGTATTCCTGTCTTCTCACTCCCCTCGCACGGTAATCTGCATAACCCAGTCCACCAGAATTGAGAATGTCATCTGTGATAGTAGGTAGCCTTGTCTTGATCCATTCTATCTTCACTTCAAAAGCTTCGTTGAGTTTCATGTTGTGGATCACTTGAAACGTGGCATTTTCATATAGACAGCTGTAGAATGAGGTTGATAAAGATTTGAGGTACTGCACTCCGTAATGTCGAATCATTATCCTTCCACATATGCATGTTTATTCCACCCTATCAACACATTTCCCACAGAGAAGTCAAAATCCAAATCTAGGATACATTTTCAAAGAGGATTATGACTAGGAACCACTTGTGATGCTGAGCCAGCTGATTGGTCCAATCAAGGTCATTTAACTTCGGTGTCTATTGTTTACTCTTGCTTATGGCTTCATATGAATTTCGGGCAACTCTAAAGAATAGCAGCCCAAACCATAATTAACTACAGAAACAACAGGATCACGTGATTGCTTGCTCAAGGTCATTCGTCCGTTCGCCAGGTGGTTTCGGTTTGGGCAACTATTCTTTAGAGTTGCCAGTTCGTTCAAAATATTCTCTCAGCTGGATATTGTATTCTTACTGTTACCATAGCAATTATTAAATTACTAGACCTGTTCGAAATGAAATCTCACACCTTGTCACCTAACATTGTATTGGCCTACCAATCAAATTGAGTTCACACTCCTTTCTAAGTGTAAAACATCCAATGATCTACTTCACATACAAGGTAAATGCAGCCAACGAATCACATGAGAGGATGTTTGTTAGACATAGGCGACTGGTAAGGTCTGACGTCTGATTGGTCGACTGGTGCATCAGAATTAGCGCTTATATTAGCCTTCATCACACAGTAACTTATTGACATTAAACAAATCTATATAGCAGTGTTCTACATTACTGGATTGTAGTTATAACAGTCAAGTGAATCCAACAAATTCAATGGAGAAGTTGACTGAAGAATTGGCCAGTTCTTTGATAGATGACTTGAGACTTGATGGAGATTTGGACTGTATGCTGTCAGATTTTCCTTCTCGTGGCATTAATCATGAATTCGCGTTAATGATTGACAAGAAGTTAATACCTGAGTGTGATACAGGGGATCCGAATCATGCTAAGAAATCATGGATAAGGTGTGCTGCCACAGCGGCTGCTTATGTGTACAAGTCTGTTGGTGAGAGTGTATCACAGCCATTACGCGTATGGTTAAGCAATGCAGCGAGTGCAGTGATTCTCCATGGACTTCTTGGAGAGTTGACTACTTCATCAACACAAGAGGATACAGACGGAAATGCCACGAATGAGAGTATATCACTACCCGATACAGTTGTAGATGATCGTTGTGATGGTTATTGGTATTATGGTAGTTGGACGGTGGAGAATGTGGCGAGTAGCTCCGAGATGAGAGGTGTGTTGAGAGCTGAGATGGCGAATGCATGTATCTCGGTGATGATTGCCTCTGTGGTCAATTACTTTGAGGAGAATCGTTACACACCGAGCGGGTTCATGAAGGATAGTTATGCGTGGACAGTACTTGGAAGTGGTGTAATGGAGAAATATGGTCTGACAGATGAGTCGGATAAGACCAAGGCAATGCTGATCACTGGTCATTGGGTATCGAAATTGGTGGTTTTCGGTATGGCTACGAAAGGCCGACAACTTAAGCACCCAATTAGACCCGTGAAGAGGATCGGTTACAAGCAGTCTCTTGATCAAATGGATATCAGTAAGTATTTCGATGATGTCCCGGCTGGCTTCACACACACACGAATCGCCCACGCCATAGCCAGAAGAATGGTTCGATCTGTGTGCATCCCCTACTTTGATAATTTTTCTGAGCTGATTGAATTACGACAGCTTTACTGGAAAATAGTTGATGATCCATTTCATTATCATATAGATGGTGAGTATTTGACTGGTTCACCGAGGACAACAATCAGTGACACAGGGAGCAAGTTGTTTGGTCGACTCATCACTTATCTTAGCATCTTTGAACCGAGAAGCGAACTGCTGCTTTATCCTCAATTGTGTATGAATGGAGAAACACGTGAGAAGCACTACTTTGATTACAGTCGTCATTGGGAAGATATTTTGAAGGTGATTTTTGATGAGATATATATGCCAAGCGGACATTATTTACCGGATGTTCTGAAAAGTAATTTAAAAATTGATGACGAATTTCCACCTAATGATGAGGAGCTGGAATCATGTTGGTCGGAATATGACGTTGATGACACTATTCGTCAGTGGATTCGTCTTTATTTTAGGACTGAATTACAGATGTAGGTCTTCGAGATTGGAACTATAACGTGTAGCAATTAACTTTCAAAATATTGTTAAACTGCAATTTTACCACTTTGAATAAATGTTCACTAGACTCTGTGTCGTCTGTTTTTCATTTTCGTTGGATCAGTGCATGATATTGGGATGGGAGACTAGGTAAGTGGGTGCATGAAGCATTTTATATTTTGATTTCATGCAAGGGATAGCCTGATATTTGTGTTTCAGAGTTAGATTATGATGTTGCTGAGTAGAAATTTTTTGAACAGTAGGATGAGTGATTATCTTGATTGACATTTAAATACGCTAAGCTGATACAGTTACAGAGGGTGTATCGTTCATTCTGGATAAAATATTCTCCTTGTATGAATTTCAATCTTGAATTGAAATGTCAACACAGATTGAGTGCAATCCGAGTAGTCGGAAGTGTGGAGTCCTCAGATGATGAGCAGTATGAATTTAAGAAATCTGTATAGATATCGTAAGATGTATACATGTTACAGGGTCTGTTGATGTTCGCAGTTAGTAATATTGACGACACATTGTCTGAGCTTGGCCCCCACTTGAAACATAGGTGAATTCTATTCAAACGTTATCTGTATTTGAGACTCAGAACTGTAGGGTTCGTGGATAATCAATCGATACGAAACAACTGTCTATCAGACGAGGACGGAAATACGTGTGAAGTGAAATATGTATCATGAGCAACGCTTACGTAAATAAAGAATGACAAACAGGTATGATGAGCATCTGATGCACGAAAGAGTAATTTTCAAGTTTCACTAGAGTTTAGCTGCTAGTTAAAGTTGATCATCGGATGGAGGTGACATTCCACTGGTAGACTTAAGCAGGATTAAAGGATGATTTCTACATCTCGGACAAAAGTCTGTTGGAGGACTGCAGGAAATGGTAGAGTAGTGGGCAATTGTTTCTTTAGGAATACGCACCTGTGACTACATTAATGACAGGACTCAGGACACCGAATTCACACGTTACCATCCAGACTCTGGATGGGGATTCGATGGTCTGTGAATTCGAACTTTTACCAACTTGTGAGATATTGCATCACGAGGATGCAATGTCACAGTTGAGTACCTGTCCTCACATCAGACATTGTGGACCATACTGGTGATTAGAAGTGAATGAAATGGACGGAATTATCTTTAGGCCTTAACAAATCGCAAAGTAAGCTATTTATTGCTGTTATAATAATACCCAGTAATGTGACAGTTTCATTTACGCGTAGAATTACCGATTAGTTTGAGAATGGCAAAATAATTAGTAGTTGTTTGACGAATGTATTGTGGTGAATTTGATTTGAAAATATTGTGAAATGCGAGGTGATAATGATGGTGGTTCGCTATCATAGATTCAGAGAATGTTTGTTTTCTTTGAATTGTATTCCTTTACGTTCCCGGTGAGAAATAGGACTTCAAGCTAAAGCATTGAAGTTTCGGTAGCAGTGGTATTTATTTTAACGGGATTGGGTTGCTAGACTGATGCCCAGCCTTCCCTCTTTATCAATTTTATTGCTTCCTTAGCGAGGTAATGGAGTTTGTCGGCGGCTGGGGATCGATCCCAGAAGCGCCTGTGTGGTTAGCGAGCATCCTAGCACTGTGCCACCGACGCAAGGGTGACTGCGAATTCATTTGAAATTTGTGGAACGTGTTTGGTGAGTGGCAGTAAAAAATAGAATCCGGTAAACTTGAGATAGTCAAACTATGATGAATAGCTAGCTCATTATTGAATGATGAATATGTGAAATGATTGAGGCGGGGTCATATATTGAGAAACGAAATTATGTCAGTAATCATGATACGGACTAGTATAAACGAAAAATTCGGTAGAACTGGCAAAATCCTACAACTGAGGGTATAAATTAGGAAGATAACACAACAGAAGTAGGTGAAATGAACATTGGAGTGGTCATATGCAGGAGATGTACTGTCGGATTGTTTGTGATTAATGGGTGGCTGGTTAGAGGGTATCACTTTCATGGTTGGTGTAGTGAAAGTCTTCTTTAGTGAACTTCGGATTCTTCTCCTCTTCAAGATATGGGAGGTGACGTCCATCGTTATATTTAGGCTCATGCATAGTAGTTTCTTTGTCACTCAACTGCATTGTCCTCATTGTGGTCTTCGTTTGATGTCCTCCGCAAGACCTGTCAGCTACGCGTATCCCACCATGATCATTTTGAGAATTCAGACCTCTTCTTTTAATCAGTGGATGCTTCACACTCATCTGATACGATGAGCGGGTGAAAATTTGTTGTCTGGCTGTTCTGTGAATGTATTCTGTAGAATGACGTTTCTATAATCCTGTCGTCTCTGCTTGTGAATTCTACATGCAGTAGTGGAGTCTTTGATTCAGTTGAAGGATGAGAACTATTGAATACCTGTTATATAGGAAATGTCTATCAGAATCACTATGAAAAGCTTTAAAGGTGTCGTCGGTATACCTTCTCTATAGGAGTATTCTGTCTACAGGTGGTTTTAAGGTTCTGTTGTCGAAACTAGGCATGAGGCATTCGGTCGAAATCGTGCTGTTAGTAGAAACCATGTCAACTTCATCACTTGTCTGTACGTGTCACTATTGAAATGACCTTCGATTTTGAACACTGAATCTTGGTGTTAGTAACAATTGCTTGAGATGTAAGGTTGGTTGGTATCTTGGTGCTGAGTTGACTGTCATCCGTGTATTTGCACATGAAACAGGTGGTTTCTTTGAGTGTCCTGTGGCTGCCCTGATTGGGAACTTTCGATCCAGTGAGAATATTCGTTTTCCAGTTGCATTGAAATCTTGTATGAAATGAGTTCGCGTCCTTTCAGGATGTTTCAGACAACAACACTACTGGCCATTTCTGGGAGGTGTTAGCATCAATTTAGTCAGAAATAACTTTGTGGAGAAACCACGGAGTTGAAGACGACTTCACCCTGACCGAGGTACATCAGGAAGATATTTGCTCGAAAAAGCAAGGAGACTGGAATGCATCTGGATTTCTTTTTGGCACCCATCAGCAGTACGTAAGAATCAGCTCACGATAGATTGAACCCACAACCGACTGGTTATTAGGTGACCATGTTATCATACATGCTTTTCGATTCTCTTAATGTAGTAAATGTAGGTCCACCGCCTTACTAGGAATAGACAAGTTCCCAGGGTTCCCGAGGCTTTCAGTGATCTTCTGATCGATGTCACTTGGTCAAACATCAACTTCGAATGCAAATCATGAATGCAATAAGTGAAACCGTGAAGTATTAAAGTTGATTTTCAGAATATTTGGAGTGTAGCATGAAAGCGGAATAGGTGTTGACGATAACTTAGCAACAAACGGTGGTGTATACATATGAAGTAAATAAAAACAACCACTCGAACTTTCGAAATCGAGATGTTTTCAGTTCTCCATTGAGATGGAATTCAATAAAACTGCCATCGGATTCTAAATTATTCCACTTCGCCGTTGAGCACTGCATTGAACCAATTAGTTATGAATGTCCTGAATTCCATCTAGTCAGTTTGGCTAGGACGGTCTTCAATGGAATTATTTGTTGGGAGCTGTATACGACGAATTAACCAGAGTTAGAATTCATAGGGCGAACCAATCAGTGATAGATGAAGAGTTTGGCCTTGTGACCGGTAGGTCGTGTATGTCAAGATTTTCAGGACGTGATTGCACACTGACCGAGAGTCGTGAACTAGGATGAAATAGCTGTCCAGTGCTCCCTGCTGTCGGTTCATAACAAGTTTTTCATTGAAACCAAGTATAATACATAATATTACTAACTGCTGCTTACATTAGAACGTAGTGACATCGTTCATAGTCTGGTGAATGGTGAAAAGAGTCAAAGAAAGAAGAAGGCAATGAGTCATCTACGAGTCATACACTCTGTTGGGTGATGGTGGTTGTGGTGAAATCCACGTTGATTTCCACTGCTACACCGAAAGTATTCATAGCACAATGTGTGGTCGGCTCAAAACGATGAGTGACATTAGCTAAAACAAACAATCAAATTCAAACATCCTACTTATATCACTGATGGATGGGAGTGGTGAGATACCAGTCACATCGAATATTAGTGCTTGTGAGAGAGTTTCAGGTGACTCAAACACCGGACAGTGGTTTCACTCATGCATATAGAATTTACTCAACTAGCAGAGGGTAAATAGAATCCATTCAAACCACTCGTATTCTACCTAGATGCATAATAATACTTACTAGTAATAGGTGGCATTCATTCAGTGAGTTGTTCGCAATGTTCTCAGTTGAAGTATGTGACTGGATTTTGAGTGACCAGGAATATGTGAACTGTCCGGAGCACAACTGATTAGTTCATGCTTGATGAACTAACCGGTCATCCATGTTTGAAATCAATCCAGTCATTTTAGTGAACCTACTGCTCATTACTATTATAATTACTTTTAAGAGTTTGACCACGGATAAATCACAATTAGAGAAGCATTTAAAACCATTAAGGAGCACTGGACAGCTGTTTCGTCCTAGTTAAGGAATCATCGGCAATTCATTGGCCATTGAATCGGGTCCCAGTGGCTGAATGTTATACAAGCCAGCTTGCCTTGTAACCGGAAGGTCCTGGGTTCGAACCCTCCGTGGTGTGTGAGCACTGCCGATGATTCTGAAACTAGGATCAAACAGCTGTCCAGTACTCCCTGTGGCTGGTTTTCAGTGGTTCTTTCACTGATATAAATCCATGGTCAAACTAGTAAAACCAGATCTTATCATTACAAACAAACTCTTGATTATTATTATTATTATTATTATTATTATTAATGTCATAATTATTCAGTTTCCGAGTGGAACATTGAGCTTCAACAGTACATCTCATTTGTTGGTGTTCCCTACAGTCATCTACAGTTGAACTTTCAGCGAAGAGACTCTTTTCGGCGAATTCATTCACATAGCTGTACAATCGCATTTATATATAAATATTTGTGTGTGTGTTTGTGTGTACATGAGGTTTGTCAAGTTTAGATAATTGATTAGTTAATACAAGAATGATGTAGTATAGAGACAAAGTTAATCAGACAGCAACTAAAGTAAAATTGAGTTAGAAAGCTAGATGATGTAATATAATTGG